GAGAGGAGAACTCTTATTCTTTAGGATGAAGTCACACAGCTTTGTCTTTTTGTCGTCACTTTTTCCCACCAGAACAATCCTGAGTTCAGACACTGAAAGAAAACAGAGAAGAAATGTCACAAGTTGGAGTTGGTGTCAACAGGTGAGTGAACCTGAGTTCAGATACTAGGAAACTGCAGGTAGTTTGATCAAAACTAATCTGTCCACTGTCCATGACCTACACATGTCACTGAAGACAGCCCAACAACAATCCAGAGCCAAGCTCATTTGGAGTGTAGGCCAAATAACAAAAGTACATTTTATTGTTGTACAATTTTAAAAGTGCAATTAGATCTAATTAGTTTAACGAGGTTTACCTATTAAACTGGGACCTGAGTGAATATCTCAATCATGTTTTATAATTTTGTAGGAAGTTGATTAAAAGTGGACAAAGTGAGGAGTTGAAACTGAAACTTTTGTCTGATAATTATTAATTCACTTACACTGGTGGCTTGTGCTTATTTGGACTGATGAAGGAGTCTGTGATGTAGACCAAGGTGTCATCCCTGTTAAAAAATAAAATCAATATTAATCACAGTAAATCAACTTTCTCCTAGATCTCTAACTGATGATGATCATTTGGAAGTGTACTTACAGTTGGGGATATAGTTTCTTGTTGAAGACAATAAACCTGACATGGGATATCCTGGACCTATAACAATAAAACATAATTAACTGAAAACACCTTTAACTCAATATTCAAAGCTGATAATTGATGAGTTGTATTGATGAAATATAAAGATTGTTCCTGCACTTACTTGGAGCTTCAGCAGGATCCAGCTTGACACTGACTCCTTCTCCTTGATGACCTCTCCATGAGACTGATGGTGCATCTTTGAAAACATCACAGCTCACATGATCTCCATTGTTCTCCTGCACCACTAGATCCAGATGTGTTAACAGCTGTTGATGTTCAAGGTTCTTGTGCCACAACAACCTGGATCTACATTTTCTGATAAAGTCTCCTAATGGTGGATGTTGCATATCGTTTTCAATGGAACCTGAACTCTTCCCTCTGGGTGTTGAGATCAGAACCAGTGAATGATCAAATGATTGATCACTGAAGAGTTGAAGGACTCTGCAGAGCCTCAGTTTCTGTTCCTCAGTGAAGTCTTCAGGCTGTAGAACCAGCAGGAACACATGAGGTCCAGGATCAGAGAGACTCACACAGTTCTCCACATGTTCTGTCAGTTTCTCATCAGAGATGTTGTAATGCAGCAGATCTGGGGTGTTGATAAGAACTATTTGTTTCTCCTTCAGCTGTGCTCTGACTCTCTGACAGCGGGCTGGTTCTTCCTCAGTGTTGAACTCAGTCGCTCCCAGTATGAAGTTCCCCACTGAACTCCTCTCAGACCAGCTGTTCCCCAGCAGAACAACCCTCAGCTCAGACACTGAAATCAAAACAGTGAATTAGAAAATATTTGTGTAGACTTCATCCAAAATGCACAGGGGTCGAATGCAAATAAATACTCATTAACTCAAGTACACATGCTTGTACTTCACTTGAGTCTGAGGAAAATATTGTACTTTTTACTTTTACTTTACTTTTTACTTTTTTTTACTTTTTTAACATGACAATCTGTCTCTGCTGTTACCTGCTGTTAAAATCTTAAAACTTGGAAATTCACCAGTGATCTTTCAAATATTCACGTACATAAAATAAAACATAACTTCAAAGCCACCAACTACAAATACTTTAATTCTAGAAGTTAAAATACAGAAGAGTAATTCTGACTCAGACTCAGTTTAACTCACTGTAAGGAGGCAGGAATTCAATGCTGCTGCTGCGCTTCACTGGTTGCAGATCATCTGTCACTGTAAAGATACACAACATTCATCTTTAATTAACATGAAGCTTTTAATTAAGCATGAAGCGGCTCTGGCAGAGGCATAAAAGTGAAGAACTTTTGACCATTAGTTTAATACTGTATTACTATTAATTGTTATTATCTCGTCTTTGATCTTTTATCTTTTTGTTTTATCAAAGAAAGTCACCAAACAAAGGGAACCGGCTCTACACAACCTGCAACTATTGATTAAAAGAAACTTCAACTTAGGAATGACTCAGCACAAAAATTATTTCTGCTGTCTAATCCATCAGTAAACAAGTCAGCAGGAATGTTAATGATGGTTCTAATGATGAATCCAAAACATCTTGTTCAGCAGAGATGGACATGCAGTTCTGGAGACCAAATTACTGTTAGTGCAGGAATAAGACAGAGGATATACTGTAGTTCTTTTATGCTGTTATCCTGAGTATTTAAGTCTGACTGGACGCACCTGATCCTGCTGTCGCCATGACGTCGCTCTGCTGGAAACATCAGAGACTAAATCAGCTGAAAACCAACTGCTGGGTTTAAGAACCTGAAGAGAGAAAAGTTAACTGTCGTCATTTCAGACATTTTAGAGCCGACTGACTGAAATCATATCACACTCTCAATACAGAGCAAAAGACTGGAAAATATCTCTTTAATAATAACAATCCTTCATTTAACAGGTAGTTTCATCTACATTGTTAGCTCTTTTCACGAGACTGTCGACGGATAAACATGTACAGTTCAAGAGGACAGACAGGAAAGTCAAACAGATTCTCTGGTTAGGCAGTAACACAGGCAGATGGATGTCGGCTATTTCCGCTCTGAACAAGAGGCTCGTTGCCTCATACTGTGGCAGAAACAGGTTGAAGCTGTTTGTTGCTCAGTTGATGAAGTTATTGTGATTAAAACAAGCTCAGTGGAAGTGAATCAAGTTGATTCAGTTTCAACATTAAAACATCAGACGCCTCTAACTTATTAAGTCAAACAATAATCAGTAAATTAAGTTTTTCTCATTTCATAGCGTCATTTTATTTCCGCCTTTCCGTCTTCCTCATTTCCAGCCTCTTCCTTCACCTCGACTTTACATTCAGTATAAGAAGCTGTCAGTCATTTACTCTCATGTACAAGTATTTCTGCCTCAGTTTAAAGTGAGAGTGAGTAAAAAGCTGTTTACTGCTCAGTTACAGAAGTTACGTTCCCAAAATGATCTGAACGCAAAATCCTCCTTCGCGCCTCTGACAGACTCTCACCTGCCAGTGATTGATTATCAGTTTGTGACGAAATCCTCTGCGTTAAATCGGCTTAATCAATTCTCCCATCAGTTCGCATTTTGCAGCTTTATTCCTTCTTTTCTATTTACGGAGCTTTGTTCATTTCATCGACTGCTGATGTTCGGGTATATTTCCGCCTCAAACACATGAAGCCCGTTTCCTTCTCTGACAGACTTCACATGTTCAGCTGCGTGTTGCAGCAGTTCACAGTGAAACACTGAACATACACTATATAGTTTCTACATCGATCACTGTTTTCAGATCAGCTAATGAATTTACTCTTGAACCTGAACATGACTGAGCAGAATAAACGTCTGACTCTAACTGACGGTCGGTTCATGAATTCACTCTGATAATAAACTGAACCTGATCAGAAAATACAAGATGATCCGTGCGTTTTCATTTAATAAGTTCTATTTATCAACTTACAACACCGATATATATTTACTTTACTTTTAGTTTAATAAGTTATTTTTCTTTAGTGGTTTTCACTCACCTGCTGAAATTCTTGCTGCGACACAACGTGGCAAAGTGAAAATAAAAACCGTTATATTGCGGAAGTTAAAACACATCACTGAAGATAGCGCGCGACCGTGTCTGGGGGTGTAGATGGCAAATAAATAAATGATTAGATAAACAAATTAAAATACCATTAAATCCATAAAAAAATACATGAATTAGGTAATAAACTGTGACATTAATTCATATTAACTCTTTACTTTCCCTTTTTAAATTTCCATTTTTTTCTGACTTTGAAGATTGAAGAAGTTCACACACATGACATGAACTTTATTTTAGTTTTATAGTATTGTTTTAATGGTTCTTTTGTGGTTTCTTTTTTAACAGGCCTGTCATCACTTTGTGGAATTTATGTTCATGTAGTTTGTAGTTCTTATGTTCTGTAATCAGAATTGGTGAGTCAACTTTTATGTCTGCACACTTATGGAGAATTACTGTGTTTTCACACTACCCCATCATTACTTCAGCTCTGTTCTTCATAGTGCATTTATCACGAATGACAAATTTCATAAATAGCCTACTTAAATAATTTACCACACGATCCAATAACTACTTAAATTCATTTTCCAAATAGAAACTGATGTTGACAGAACTAGTTTCAGCTATAATGCAGTTGTTGTATGTTCTTATTTTTCCCCTTCATTATTGACTGGCTGGTTTTAGTTCTTGTTCACTGGTTGTCTGGATGTTTGACTGTTTCTTCTTCTCAGGTCTCCTGAAAATGAACCTTAAAACTTGAGCTGCAGTCACACAAATGTTGGTTTTAATCAATCAGGAAGAGACTCACGGAAAATACTCAAGTATTCAAAAACACAAGGACACATTAAGGGTTATCAGGTTTAATTCATAAATGCAAAAGCAAACAATAAGTAGTAAAAACTGAAAATTTGTAATTCAAAAAATAAAAATCAAATCATTAGGCATTGGTGATATCATGACACATACCATTTGACGATATACATTTGTCTGTCAGAGATTATCTCATATTTTATTTTAAATACTTTTAAAATCATCTTTGAGTGTTTCAGTCAAGACGACTGATTTATTGGATATTTATGTGATTCGATGTGACCTTCATGTGTATTCAAGTCTCTCAGTCAGCCAAGTTTGTTCATTTTACCTTTTTAACAGTTTCTCATTTGATCCTAGAGAAAATCTGCTCTATGATATATATAAATACCACAATATAAATTCACATATACAGCGATATCGCCCACTACTATCAAAAATAATCATATGATTAAGTCCTGAATATTAATATCACCCTTAAACTGGATAAATGGATAAAAAATGATTTTGATAAAATGATAAACATGTTGAAATAACGTTAACTGTTGATTAAAAACTGAAATTAATTCAACAAAACACATTGTATTACTGAATCAAATGTCAAAATCAATCAATAACTAATTTAAAAAAATGTGAATCACACAAGTTTGTCATGAATCAGTTACAAACAGGTCGTCTGTGCAGCAGGTTCATGTGACCCATGGTATGTACGAGGCGCCATCTAGTGGTCGTAGTATTTATGACGTGTCTTCTATCTGCATTTCTTCTTAAATTAAACCTCATATTGCCAATCTGTCATGTGCGTCAGTGTTTTGTTTCTTTGGGTCAAAGGTTTCTGCAGTTCCAGTTTCAGTTGATTTCTTGTTCTTGTTTTTCTCCAATTTGTTATTTCTCCTGATTGTATTAACAATTTGTTTTTCAGGTCATTAATTTCTCATTGTTTATTTGGTAACTCATCTGATCTCAATGTTTATATCTGAAGATCAAGAGTTGAGCAAAGTTGGCAACCTTGTCTCCTGAAAAAATCTGCATTTATTTCCATTATTACCAGTATATGTATGAAAGCAGCCTAATGCTGCCTGGATTGTGTTGTTTTATGTTCAACAAGGAAAGTTTATATTGAATGCAGCTGCTCAACAGTCACTGTTGGTCCATCTTAACTGCAACTTTTAGACTTTGACTGGGGAAGTTGCTGAACATGACCCAGGAAAGCAAGAAACACTGGCATCAAAGGAGCAGAGAAGGGAGCTGACTCATCTGCTGGGTTCTTGATGCATCCGTCTTCTTCCTTCTCATCAGAGGACACGCACTGGGTCTCCTCTGTAAAAAATGAAGACGGTTCGTCAGTCCACAAACCATCTATCACTTCATGGACAAAACACTGATGACAAGTGTGAATGTGAAAGTCTTTGGATGGTTTCCCCATGAATAAACAATATCAAATATCTCTGTGACTTTAAATCTGATCATGGGACGATCAATATAGCAACAGCACACCAGCTGTCAGTAGAGTTGGGACAGCACAGTCAAATATGATAACAGAGACAGGCTGCATGTTGCCTGGAGACTTTACCACCTTGTAGTTTTTATTTCCTGGTAAACTGGTGATCCAGAACAGTTTTATTTAGGTCGATAAACCAACCATGGCTTTTTTCTGTGCTTTAGTTTATTAAAAGTATGGTCTACTTGGTGCTGATGGTGGTACATAATTATTCTCATTACGGTTTTCACATACTTTCATGAAACTTGACTTCTCACGCCGACAGTTTGCAGGCAGGTCATTTATAACAAACTAAAGAGCAGTTGACCCAAAATCGAACCGTGGGGGACACACATTGTATTGCTTATAAGAGATGATATTTCTTGGTCAGTTTTCACTCACTGCTCTACTTTGAAGGTATGATTCAAACCAATTAAACTGATCTCAGTTAATCTCTCTACAGTATCCCCATACTCTCATAGATCCTGACTTATCACACTAATATATAACAGAAAGGCAAATACAAGTTAAAATGAAATCCCTCAGTACTCACCAGGGGCCACAGGATCAGAATCTAGCTCGGGAACATGTACAGGAGTGGGTTTCTCCATCTCTTTGCCCACAGCTGAAAAGCAAACAGTAAATTAGCAAAAACAACTTGGATACTAAAGAATAGATTCAAATTGGATTTACGAGTGAGGAAATCACAGTTTCTTTAATTTGCACTTGGAGTGAATCTGTCATCAATCAAACATCTTGAAATTAAATGTAACTTTAGGCAAAATTATTCAGTAAATATTTCAGCAAATGAACTGCGGTTTTTAATTTGATGTTCAAATTCTGCAGTTCAAACTCTGTAAGTTCAGATCTAATTAAACAGCAGAATAGTTCTGAATAGTTCAGTTCAGTTAAACTCACTATTAGGTTGCTCTGATTCATCAGCTTCAGCTTCCCCTGTAAAGGACAGAATATACAAATGTACACAACCCACTCTAAAGAGCAAAACAACACAATAGCAAACAAAGACAATACAATCAAAATATAAATCACAACCTAGAAAATGGATTTCCTGCAGAAAATGCTGAGAACTGAATGCCTTTGCTGAAACAAAGCTGAAGCAATAACTGAAGATTAAAAGCAGAACTTGCAAGCTGGAGGCTGAATGGCCTGAAATGAAGCAATTTTAAAAATGCCTCTCTTCCTGTTTCCTCCTGATTTTCTGCTGGCAACCAGCAGGTAGCTATGACAACATTCTCATCTTTTCTTGGTCATAAACATAAAAATATAAACTGAATATACTTCTTAAGTCCACTTTAAACATAATCAGTGAAACAATTTCTAATTTATGGACAGTGAATATTTCACTGAATTAACAGGTGTCTTGATTAGTCTTTCAAGTCCTACTGTTCAATTGTGTAAATTCTGATCTAATTAAACAGCTGCGTAGTTCTGACTCAGTTCAGGTTAAACTCACAATTAAGTAGCTCTTCCTCGATTCTGCGCCACATAGGTTCCATATCAGCGTCCCCTGTAAAGGACAGAAATATGCAAATGTACACAAACCACACTAAAGAGCAAAACAACAACAAAACAGCAAGCGAAGGCGATACAATCAACATATGTATCGCAAACAACCAACAGGCAGTGGGTAGCGATGTCAAAATTCTAATGTTTTCTTGGTTATATAAAAATATCAACTGAATATACTACTTGGTATTTTGTAACTGCTTCTTTAAGGCCACTTTAAACATGCTCAGTGAAACAATTTCTAATTTGTGGACAGTAAATATTTCAGTTAATGAACTGAGGCCTGTACTACGAAGAGTAGTAGTAGTAGTAGTAGTAGTTGTAGTAGTAGTAGTAGTAGTAGTAGTAGTAGTAGTAGAAGAAGAAGAAGAGAGTAAAAGCATCATTACTGTCAGGAATCCTGTCAGATTAAAGAATCTGTGTTCAGTTCAAATGAAGCTATAATAGTTATTATATATTTATTTAGTGTGATAAACTCTGTTTTAAAACAGAGCTGCTAATAAATGCACAGAGAGCGGACACATGGAAAGACTCAAACAACAAAATGATTCCACTGATCT